GTAAAAGACAATAAATCATCCTTTAATGTATCTAATTTGCTTTTAAATTTACTAATGTTTTCCATTTGTGCTTCTTCTTTCCTTTCTTGTTCCAGTTGCCACTGCTATAGTCTCTCTTCCTGTTTCTTTTCTTGTCTCTTTTCTTTTTCCTCCAACAACTGCTGTAATCTCTCTTGTTTATTTTGGTGTTCCAGCTGCCACTGTTGCAGGTTTTCTTGCAACTGCTGTTGTCTCTCTTTTTGTTTCTTTTCTTTTTCCTCCAATCACTGCTGTAATTTCTCTTCTTATTTCTTTTCTTTTTCCTCCAAGAACTGCTGTAATTTCTTGTCTTGTTCCTCTTCTCGTTCTTCTTGTTTCTTTTGCTGTTCTTGTATTGCTGCTATCAATCTGTTAAGCTATAGTTTGATTTGCCAATTCTCGTTTCCATTTTTTTTGTCCCACTCTCTGACACCAATTTGTTACGCCTCCGTTCGTTAGTTAATTTTCCGTAAAAATTCTTTTCGAAGAAACTTTACCGATACAAGTCCTTTCTTAAATAAAACTTTACGTTACACTTAATTTCAACAGTTGCGCTATAACAAACGCTATAATTCACAACAAACTTCTCACATGCTCAACAATATTCTGTCCAATACATTCAATTACTCATTACCTTCCCTTTGTCACGTTGTGACCATCTTATATATAAAAGAATACCGAGATGTAGTAGGTTCGAGAAGGAAGTGCCGTGATACAAGCACCACGTGACCTACGTTGTCGGAACAATATCATGGAATGTTATCATTTCATCACTACTTGATTCAAGCATTTCTAATTAAAGTCAAGTAAGATGTTTATGGTGATCCTTATTCCCTCTACATATTATGTAAACCTCTGTTCAGTGACTAGCCTCTGGATGAGAATACAGAAGGTCCAATGGTACTTCTATGTTCTCTTCCAAACATCAGTGATGATGGTGTATTGCCTGTAGCTTCATGTAGATGAATTATTGTATGTTAATGTTTGATATCCTGAAGCGACAACCAAAGAAATGAAAATATGTATAAATTAAATCTGGATGGAGAGAACAGTCATTGTTTCTGTAAAAGGAAATAGTAAGAAACTTTATAACTGAACAGTTTTATTTCCTAGTTTTTTATGTATAGACAGTAAGTATTGATTAGAACCAGTTTCTTTATATCAATATTTCAACATGTACTGAGATTGTCCTGCTATAATTGGTTTCTTAACAACTGTGAATTATGGGATTGAATGATTTCAAACTACAGTCTCAATTTACTATGATGATTGAAGTACTGATACAATTTCTAGTAAGATAGTTTTCCTACAAACTTATAGAATTTATAAAATATTAATAAACATTGTTATTTTTGCCTAAAGTTTGTTATTTGTAATTACTTAACTATAGGACTTTAAAGTATTGGTGTCAGTAAACATATTAATAGGACAAAGTATTATAAGATTTTATGGTATTCAACCATTAAAGTACACAAGATAATATACAGTTGATTGTTGTGATAGTATACCATCATATTTCAACAGTTGAGTTTGTCTACTGTAAACCTTTCTATTGAACAAGATAAGATAAAGTTGATTGTTGTGATACTATACCATCATATTTCAACAGTTGAATTTGTCTACTGTAAACCTTCCTATTGAACAAGATAAGATAAAGTTGATTGTTGTGATACTATACCATCATATTTCAACAGTTGAAGTTGTCTACTGTAAACCTTTCTATTGAACATAATCTTATACTTCCATTTTATATTTTCAATACTGTTTCAGTCCTGGGAGAAAAGTTTTATAAAGTGTGAATCTATGAAAATTGTGTCATAATTATTTTTACCTTTAATATTTTGATATTTGTTGTGATTGTATTAAACCATTAAACTGAACTTAAAAGTTCAACAAATATTGTATGATACATTTGACTATTTCACAAAAGTATCACAAACATATGTTATTTCTAACTATGAAGCAGAAACTAGGAAGGAAACTTAATGAATTGTTTGAAGATTTGGTGTACATGTTTGTTGATGATAAACCATACAGTTATGTAACATGTGGAAAGGAAAGTGTAACATTGGATAACGTAAAACAATCTAATATACATGAAGGTGATGATAAACCATACAGTTATGTAACATGTGGAAAGGAAATTGTGACATTGGATAACGTAAAACAATCTAATATACATGACGGTCATGACAAACCATACAGTTATGTAACATGTGGAAAGGAAAGTGTAACATTGGATAACTTAAAACAATGTAATATACATGGAGGTGATGATAAACCATATAGTTGTGCAACTTGTGGAAAAGAGTTTAGAATGAGGCATTTCTTAAAATGTCATGAAAGAATACATACTGGAGAAAAACTTTGTAGTTGTAACATTTGTGGAAAACAATTTAGACGTAGTACAGACTTAAAAAACATGAACAAATACATACTGGAGAGAAACCTTATAGTTGTGCAACTTGTGGAAAAGACTTTAGAACAAGTACATACTTAAAATATCATGAAAAAATTCATACTGGAGAGAAACCTTACAGTTGTGCAACTTGTGGAAAAAAATTTAGAATGAGGCATTTCTTAAAGTATCATGAAAGAAAACATACTGGAGAGAAACCTTACAGTTGCAACATTTGTGGAAAACAACTTAGACGTAGTACTGACATAAAAAAACATGAACAAATACATACTGGAGAGAAACCGTATAGTTGTGCAACTTGTGGAAAAGACTTTAGAACAAGTACATACTTAAAATATCATGAAAAAATTCATACTGGAGAGAAACCTTACAGTTGTGCAATTTGTGGAAAAGACTTTAGAATGAGGCATTTCTTAAAATATCATGAAAGAAAACACACTGGAGAGAAACCTTATAGTTGTAACATTTGTGGAAAACAATTTGGAACTAATGATGAGTTAAAAAGACATGAACGAATACATACTGGTGAGAAACCTTACAGTTGTGCAACTTGTGAAAAAGACTTTAGAACAAATGAGGAATTAAAAATACATAAAAGAATACATACTGGAGAGAAACCTTACTTTTGTGTTGTGTGTGGAAAAAAATTTGGATGTAATAGTAACTTAAAAAGACATGTACAAATACACACTGGAGAGAAACCTTATAGTTGTACTATTTGTGAAAAAGACTTTAGAACAAATGAGAAATTAAAAATACATCAAGGAATACATACTGGAGAGAAACCTTACAGTTGTGTAGTGTGTGGCAAACAATTCAGAAGTAATACTAGCTTAAAAGAACATAAACAAATACATACTGGGGAGAAATCTTACACTTGTGTAGTGTGTAATAAACAGTTTAGAAGAGGTTCATTAAAACATCATCAAAGAATACATACTGGAGAGAAACCTTACTTTTGTGTAGTGTGTGGAAAACAATTTGTATGTAGTAGTAACTTTAAAAGACATGAACAAATACATACTGGAGAGAAACCTTATAGTTGTGTAATTTGTGGAAAATACTTTATAACAAAAAATGAATTAAAAATACATCAAAGAATACATACTGGAGAGAAACCCCACTTTTGTGCAATTTGTGGAAAAAGATTTACAACAAGCAGTTCTTTAAAAAGTCACGAAAGAATACACACTGGCGAGAAACCTTACAGTTGTGATGTTTGTATGAAACAATTTAGAAGTAACTCTAGCTTAAAAAAACATGAACGAATACATACTGGGGTGTAACCTTACATTTGTACAGTATGTGATAAACAGTTAAGAACAAATGATGGATTAAGATTTCATAAAAGAACACATACTGTAAGAATCCTTACTGCTGTACAGTAAGTGAAAATTAATTCAGAAGTGACTCTTATGTTAAAAATCCATCAAAAAATACACCTTGGAGAGAAACCAGTTTCACAGTTTATGGAAAACAGTTTGGAACAAATAATGAATTATAAATACATCAAAGAATGAACACCTGGGATAAACTGTACTGTTGTTTACTGAGTTGAAACAAACTGTAACTACTACTGAATGTGGTTATTGTTTAAAGTTTAGTGAACCAGATGATTAAGGTGTACAGATCTGTCTTTGGTGTGTTTTTGATACTTTTAGTTGGAATAAAACAATCTAATATACATGAAGTATGTCTCCTACAAACTGTAAATTCATTGACAGTAACTATAAAGACTAGATTGAATTGTTTATAACCTTTTAAATATTATTAAACTATGTACACAGTATTAATTTAAGGTGTATAAGATCTATGTTTATTGTGTTTTTTATACCTGTACTTGGGAATTATTGTGTGAAATGTTATGAAGGGATAAAATGACAAAACTATTGTTAACTTCATACATAGAAATATGTTAAAGTTAAGTCCGGATGGAAGAGAGAGCAGTCATTTTTACTATAAAATGAAATTGAAAGAAACTTTCTAACTAAGCAGTTTGTCTTATCTTTGTAATTCTCTGTGTATAGAGTTTGTGAGTAATAGTTCAAAGCAGTGTCTGTAGATTAATAGTTCAACATGTGCAAAAAATGTGGTGCTATGGTTGACTTTATGGATACTTACAACCTCCATATTCTAGGGGTTTGGTGGTCATGAGTTGTTTCTGGTTAAAGGAATGTGTCCTAAACTTGATTGTCTGGTAGTTAGAGTGCTTGAGTCACAGTCTGAGGGTTTGAATGCCTGTTGCCCAACATGCTTGCTCTTTTAACTGTGGATGTTATAATATGGTTATCAATCCCATCACTTCTTGATAAAAGAGTATCTAAGAATTGGTGATGTTGACTAGGTGCTTCCCTCTAATCTATCACTGCTTAAGTTAGGGAGGGCTAGGGTAGATAGTCCTTGTCTGTCTTTGTGTAATATTGAAAACAGACCATAAACAAACTTAATAACATATTTATAAATAGTTTCATTTGTGAAGTTCTTGTGTTGTGATGATTGATTTTTCTGGATATTTACACCCTCTAGGTTTTAGGGTCTTGGCAGTCATGAGCCCCTTGATTCTAACTTTTTTTATGCTGAACCAAATCTTTATGTTTCTAGTAAAAATAATGTGACCCAAACTTGGTAAAAGAATAAACAATATATTTAATCAAGTTTCATTTGTCAAGGTCTTAGTATTTCTATATTTATTTATTTAACTTGAATACAGATCTTTTGAACAGGAACATTAGAATATTTTATGATATTAAATAGTTACAGTTATGAGACATCTCTTAAAATTAATCCAGAAATTACTGGTTGAAAGTAAAGTTGGTTGTTGTGACACTGTACCATCATAGTTCCACAGTTGATGTAAGACTTAGTTTAATGTAAACCTTTCTCTAGAACATGGTATGTTACTTCCATTTTATGTTTTCAATAATAATTTGAAATAGGGAGGTAAGGTATTTCTAAAGTGTTAAACTATGAAAATTGTATCATAATTATTTTTACATTTAATATTTTGATATTGATATTTTTGATTGTATTACACTATAAATTCCTTCTATATGATGTCCATGGATTAAACCAGTCTTTTAACCCCAGAGTAATCATCATTTAATATAGTCTCTATATGTTCATGATACTTATCATGGCAGATGTCTCTGATGTTCTAGTTTATGACCCCATAATCAAATAAGATTGAGTTATAAAAATTCGTCATTATCAAAGTAATTTCTATATTATAATGAGTAATTATGTTAAATTCTGTACTTCTCAGACAGGTGGTAAATAACTTAGAGAAGAGGGAAAACCTAGAGAACAAATGTCACAATTCTCATACTTGTGGAGACTGAGGATTTGTTTTAAATATTTACTTGGAAAATTAAGAATTTAAAACTGAAGTAATTAATATTTGATTTATTAGTCATGTTTTGATGTCTAGTTTGTTGACATCCATTGATAACAAAGTAGTTTAATTAAATGTTGAATGTAATTCTCTGAAAACATACACGCTTTGACTTGCCTACAGTGAGAAGGTTAAAATTACGTATGTATCGTATATTTTTATTGTAGATATAAACATCTGTTGTGGAAGCCATTTTCCTGATTATCATCTTTTAAAACAAGAAGATCCTTTTAAAGACGTGAAATCTTCAAAATTAAACAGTGATGTTTGTGGAAAAACAAATTTAAAAGGAAGTAACATAAAACAATCTAATATACATGAAGGTGATGATAAACCATACAGTTATGTAACATGTGGAAAGGAAAGTGTAAGATTGTATAATGGTAAACAATCTAATATACATGAAGGTGATGATAAACCATACAGTTATGTAACATGTGGAAAGGAAAGTGTAACATTGGATAGTGTAAAACAGTCTAATATACATGAAGTTGATGATAAACCATACAGTTATGTAACATGTGGAAAGGAAAGTGTAACATTGGATAACATTATCAATGTGAAAACAGAAACTGAATTCCAACAAGATTTACAGTGTAGTGAATCTAGGTTGGAAAGTACATCTGGTAAGTACATCACTATATTTTGAATTATCCACAACAAAGATCTTTACATACCATTTTGAAGTTTGGTGTAGTGAAAGAGGAACAAGAAGAGAACTGTGATGTAGGAACAGAAAAAACTGAGGTAATTTTTGTTTAAAACTTTTATAGTTTTGTTAAAAGTTATTATAAATTTTTGTAAAGATGTCTTTATGAACTTTGTGTGACTAAAGCAGAATCAGTGTTGAGATGTTTGAAATCATGAAATTCATAAACTGTTTTCTAAACCTCTAACTGTTCTTTTTGTATCATTAATGTTAGCATATATGTTACATTTATTATTCTAGCATTAATGATATCCATTAACAGATGTTACAGTGTTTTTATTGTGTTGTTAATGTTTGCTGTCCATAGATGTTACACTGTTCTTATTGTATTGTTAATATTAGCTGTCCACAGATGTTACACTGTTCTTATTGTATTGTTAATGTTAGCTGTTCACAGATGTTACACTGTTCTTATTGTATTGTTAATGTTGGCTGTTCACAGATGTTACACTGTTCTTATTGTATTGCTAATGGTAGCTGTCCATATATCTTACACTGTTTTTATTGTATCATTAATATTAGATGTCCACAGATGTTACATTATTGTTCTTGTATTGTCAATGGTAGTTCCACAGATGTCACACTGTTCGTATTGTATTGTTAATTTTAGCTGTCTGCAGTTGTTACAGTGTTCTTATTGTGTCGATAATGATAGCCGTCTACAGATGTTACACTATTCTTATTGATTTTTTAATGATAGGTGTGTACAGTTGTTACACTGTTCTTATTGTATTGTTAATTTTAGCTGTCTGCAGTTGTTAAACTATTCTTATTGTATCGTTAATGTTAATAGATATTACATTTCTATTGTTACTTTACCTTCATAAAATATCTGGATTTGAGGACAGAGTGTCATCTCTTTAACACAACAGTAAAATAAAACTTTTTTAAATACAAACAACTCTGTGTGTATTTTTATTTTCAGTATTATATCCTCATAAAACCCAGTATTTTTGTTTGTGTATTTGAGAAAATATTAGGTTATTAGATATTCCCTTTTAATTATGTTCTTGTCTTTATTACTTGTATAATATTCTAAAAGTAAATGTAACAGAAATGAACTACTTTTCTATACATTTTTATTAACTTTGTTTATAGATTTATATTATCATATTTTAAATTAATCAACCGGAGATGATATTATTTGTTTACTTTAGTGATGTCACTAGTTGTTGTTTTTATTGACCTTTTGAATGTGTTGTTTGATTTTAGAACATCTTTGTCACAGTGAAAACAGAGCAGCCTCATGACCTACCAAAAGATGAGGTCATTTCAAAGTTCAGTGTCAGCAATGATGATGATCCTGATACTAGCATGAAGGAGACTAACAGTATTTGTCACTAACTTGTTTTTTTTCTCTTGCTTGTATGTAACTGTAGAAGAAACTACCAGTTTTATTTAGTTTTAAAATGTAAAATTTCCTTTCATATTTGTTTTATAAGGACAACATGATGTATCTCTTTTAGTCCCACAAGTTAAAGTTCATCTATAAATGTATGTGTCCTGATGGATCAATCTGCCCTAGGTACAAGATGAGAACATTTTCTTAAAGTTTTTACTTCTCTTTTATTGCTCAACTTTGGCACTTTTTTATAATTGATAGTTCTATAGTTCAGCATACCTGTGTACCACAAAGGAAATTATATATGAGACCTATTCATCAAAATACGTTTTGTGGTATTTGAATATGATGCAGTGAAGCATGATTTACATTCAGTGTTGTTATACACAAATAAACACTATTTATACTTCTATCAACAGTAGAAGGTGATTCCTTATGTTTATACAAAGAGATGTGTCATCATTGTTGCTGCTTTTTTAAGGGTGAAAACTATTTTCTTTCAGTCTGGTCTCTAGCAAGCATCATGGCCCAGTGTACAGTACTTTGGAATTGTAATAGATAGGTTTAGAGTTGTAGTTTCATTATTTTGCTGTAAACAGTGTTTCAGATTATTAATGTCTTTCTTTATTCTATCAAACAATCAAAATCCCAAAGTAATTAATTAATCAAAATTAATATGTTGGATTGTTACTGCTTTCAGTTGTTCTAACAGTTGGTTAATCAAAATTAAGATTACTTTACTTATCATGAAGATTCTCAATTAGTTAACATTTCAGTTCTCATTTATCACTGTTTTTTAGTATTTCAAGTTTCTATAATATTACTATTATAACCATATGTTGTTAAGTGCAATGCCAAATAATGGGCTGATTTCAAAATACGGGAAGGAGACTTGCTAACAACACCTGACTCTACTTTGTTTCATTTAATTGCTTGTATGTACCATAGTTTGATGAACATAACAGTAGTTGATTAATTGAATGTTATCAAGTTGATTGATTGATTAACAGTTTCCACTAACCACATATCTCTAGATAGGTTGTAAATTTATTAACAGATACCACTAATCACATATTTCTAGGTAGGTTGTAAGTTTATTAACAGATACCACTAATCACATATTTCTAGGTAGGTTGTAAGTTTATTAACAGATACCACTAATCACATATTTCTAGGTAGGTTGTAAGTTTATTAACAGATACCACTAATCACATATCTCTAGATAGGTTGTAAGTTTATTAACAGATACCACTAATCACATATTTCTAGGTAGGTTGTAAGTTTATTAACAGATACCACTAATCACATATCTCTGGGTAGTTTGTAAGTTTATTAACAAATACCACTAATCATATATCTCTAGGTAGGTTGGAAGTTTATATAATATTATATAATTTTAAAAATGTGTCATATGCATTGGCCCACTGATTGCTTAGTTTCCCTGTTGCCCCTGGTACTACCCATAAGATTCCCATGAAGTTTTGGGTTCTCCTCATTGCTCCTCTTTGGCAAGTCCAGTCAATGTTTCCTGCATTACGTGTCCTTCTCATTTGAAACTTGTGTAAGTTATTATATAATGAATAAAAACATGATTACATTGAATGTTGTTGTAGTAAACAAGTCTTATGCTCTTATTGTGGCTCCTTGTTTAACCACTGTTTGGTTCAACTAAGAATCAACAAGTCTTGTGCTCTTATTATGGCTCCTTGTTTAACCACTGTTTGGTTCAACTAAGAATCAACAAGTCTTATGCTCTTATTGTGGCTCCTTGTTTAACCACTGTTTGGTCCAACTAACATTGTGCTTGGATATTTCTATGCTCTCTACCCCCTGCCTCTTTCTCTTCTTTTTTTAGATTAAGGGTGTTTGAAAGAATAATACTCTACTGAGAAGAATGTTTTGCCTTCCAAGTGTCCATATTTTTAGTTCTGTGTCTTTATAGGCTGGATACGTTCACCCATTTCTAGATATGTCTAGTGTAACGGCTATTGTTGTAGTTATGGTTTCTGTTTAATCTCTTCTTCATCACAACATTCAGAGTTTCTGTTGTCAGGATTGTTTTCTTTCCTGTCCTAGTGCTCAATATCTGTTTATATGTTATTATTAAACTCTAGTTTCTTTCTCAATTTCATTGTGTTTATTTTGGTTTATAGTTTTTCATAGTTAAGTCAGTTTGATTTGAATTTTATGTTTGTGTGATTCAAATTAATTCTACACAGGTATTTACCACTAAGATACTTTCCCACCCACCTCCATACAGTAAAGAGGAATATATAATGTCATCATGATCTCAAACAGTGAAATCTGACTTTTGGTAGAAAAGTAGGTGATTGAAATATAAGTTGTACAGAATGTGTGAGTGGAGTATTTTGGATGAGGTGGTGTTACTACATGAAGTTCATTCAAACCAAAGAAAAGGCTTACAATATTTTAGAAGAAACCACTGGTTTTATTTAGAGTTTTAAAATGTAAAATTCGATAAGTTACATTATCTCCCCTCACATTAATAGTTATTATAGTTTAGTGCTGCCCTCTGTATGCAAAAACATTTTGCACATGCCAAAAACCTTGAAACTCCTAACTATCTGGAATTGGCGCATGTGACTTCTCTATTCAATTCTACTTATCACTTCTCGTTTTGGCATTACTTGTGTCAAGATTATTTTTGTGCAGGTGCTCATCATATGATTTGAATATGTGACTTATAGTTGTTTCCAAAGTGGAATTTCTTCATTAATTTTTTCCTCACTCTCTAATTTTTATACATCAAACACTTTTGTTTTATTTATATTTCCATATTTATATTACTTCTGAGGTTAACGTTACCACTTCGGGTATCATACCTTCTACTAGTACTACCATCTCCTTTTTTAGGTTTCCTCATGATAGGTTTATTTCATATGTTTTGGACAGTCCTCACTAATGTACTACATATGAAAGCTAAAGGAGATAGCTGCCTATTCTTGCCATGTCTTGTACTGAATAAATCAGTATGGTCTGCTTTTCAAAATAAGGTTTGGCGGTAATCCATTGCACTATCTCAGGTGATGTTGTTCCTCTGAACTCTTTACCGTGCTTTCTTCTAGTGGAGCTTGAGAGTCCTTACCATCTTTCAGAACCAAGCCGCTGGAGTGGTGGACCATGGAGGCATCCTCCTGAAGGTGTTAATGAAATACAAATGCTATATATCAATTAATATAAAACCATTCAGTTGAGAGTGTGGTGGTGATATTCTGCTGATGTATATGACAAGATATCCTCCACTATGTAATGTGGGAGTGAGCCATCTAAATTGCAGTTCACCCCTTTGATTGGGATCCCTCATCCTACCTCTACTTGAATGGGTTTTGTATATAGAACTGAACCAATCAACATGCCAGCAGTATGAACCTCTTTCATACCCCCACATAGATGTTGGTACCTGGTGACTGGGTTTTGGATTGTAGTTGACTCACCAATGATATGATCGTCATCTTACTCCTGTCAATAACAAGCTGGGTGGGAGTTTTAAGGCTTTGTGGTGTGCACTAAACATGTTTTTGCATATAAAGGGCAGCATTGAACAAGAATATCTATAAGGACAACATGATGTATCTCAATGTGTGTACACTGTAAATGTATGTGACCTAGTCAGTTAATAGAAACTTATAGTGGTTAGGTAATGATTTTTATTTTTCTATGTGTTTGTTGTTTTTCTTTGCTCATCGTATTATGAATTGTGTTTTGCATATTTTTGATAATTCACAGTAAATTATACACCAGACCTGTTCATCTAAACACATTGTGTTGTATTTCAGTATGATGTAGTGAAGCATGATTTACATTCAGTGTTGTTATAGACAAATAAACACTATTTATACTTCTATCAACAGTAGAAGCTGATTCTTTACAACAAAGATCTTTACATACCATTTTGAAGTTAGGTGTAGTGAAAGAGGAACAAGAAGAGAACTGTGATGTAGGAACAGAAAAAACTGAGGTAATTTTTGTTTAAAACTTTTATAGTTTTGTTAAAAGTTATGTTCATGTGACTGATGGAGAATTAGTGTTGAGATGTTTGAAATCACAAAATTCACAAAATTTAATAAACTGTTCTCTATACCTGTCACTGTTCCTTTTTTGCATCATAAATATTAGAAATTCACATATGTTACACTTATTATAGCATTAATCTTTGCATCAAACAGTTGGTACACTGAGGTAGCAATGAGACTAAGAATGCTTTAACAGGATCTTTATTTTCTCTGTATTTCAACTATAAGTCTTCAGGAGAGTGTGACACCATTGTGCCTTACAAGGGTATATATACAAATTTTCCCAGCTTAGGCTCCTGGTTGCTATGCCTTACCACTCCCTGATTAGTTTATTATCGTTGTCTGTCAACCAGTCAGCATCCTTCTTTTGTCTCACAAGGCTCACTGCCATTTCTGCCCACTTGTAGTCTCATGCTGTGGTGTTTATGTTATTTTATAATAAGATGTAAGCAGCTTCTGTAGCTTTCCATTGCTGCTTTTCCATTGCTGATCATTTTAGTTTCCTTCCATTTAGACAGGTTTCCTGCTTCCTCTGCATGTGCTATTATTGCGTTGGTTGTATTGTGCCTTCTGAAGTTTGCTTTATGCTCATTTACTCTGGTTGTTAGGCCTCTGCCAGTTTCACTTTTATACTCTGTAGGATCAAGATTTCTACACAAGGAAGATCAATCATATTATAAAGTTGTAAAGATGTATTTTCAAACTTCATCTGTGGCCCCTAGTGGCACAGCAGTATGTCTGCAGACTTACAACACTAGAAACCAGGTTTTGGTACCTGTGGTGGGCAGAACACAGATAGCCCATTGTGTAGCTTTGTGCTTAACATCAAACAACGACTTAAACTTCGTGTTACTAAAGCAAAATCATGAAACTCACAAACTTTAGTAAACTGTTCTCTAAACCTGTCACTGTTTCTTTTTGTGTCATTAATGTTAACAATCCACATGTGTTACACTTAATATAGCATTAACGTTTCCATCAAACAGTTGTTACACTGTTGTTACTGTAGCATTAATGGTAGCTCTCCCCAGATATACTGTTCTTATCATCATAGTATTAATGTTAACTGTCCACAGATTTTACATCTGTTTTTGTATTTTTACCTTGCTGCAATTTCTAGAGTCAGGTCTAAGGTGCCATTTATTGACATAACAGTAAAAAATCTGGTAGACATCAGAGAATGGAATATAATTTACATAAAAATAACTTCTCTGTGTGTTTTTTATTTTCAGTATTATATCCCTATAAAAACCAGTATTTCTTTGTGTATTTGCTTAGATAAGTATAATAAATCTTTCATTTTAATTATTTTCTTAACTTCATTTAAATGAAACTACATTTGACAGAAATCAAACTGATTTTCTCTACATTATTTTACCATTGGTTTTGGACTTATTGAGAAAAGATTAAAATAGTGTAGCTTTACTTTATTTCAAGCTACTGCTTTTGTAGTAAGGAAAAATATTATTTAAAACAGGTATGACATTTCAATCACTGGTGTGATCATTCTCAAGTGTACTTGTAATATAATGATACTTATTACCAGGAAGTAAACTGAAAATGAAAGTTAGTTTTGTTTGTTACACATAACTAGGTTTAAAATGTTAGATTTATATTATCATCAACCGGAGATGATATTATTTGTTTACTTTAGTGATGTCACTAGTTGTTGTTTTTATTGAACTTTTGAATGTGTTGTTTGATTTTAGAACATCTTTGTTAGAGTGAAAACAGAGCAACCTCATGACCTACCAAAAGATGAG